TCAGAACTTTTCACTATATCAGCATTATCCCATTTATGATGATCTAACGCACTGTCATCCGCAACATTAACAGGACCCAAGGAAGCCTGTTCATTTATACCTTCAATATTAGAATGCACCGGCTCCTGATTATTAATAACAGGTTTAGTATTAATCGGATCCGCAGAAGTATCCCCCTTAGTATTACCACTTTCATCACCATGAACAAGAATAGGACCCTCATTGACCTGATGCACATTAGTCACCTCATTTTCCTTACCGGCCTTAACATTAGGAACAACTTTCTCCTTGCGTAAATTAGGGTGTAATCTAAAGCATTCATTTATCCCATGACCATGCATTCTACAATGTGAGCAAAAAATGGGTAAATTTTCAATTTCAACCTTTTGAAAATAGCCATTGTTCTCCGATCCTAACCAAATTTCTTTCGGATGTTTTTTAGTAACATCCAATTCAACTAAAATTCTAGCCACGGACGGCCTCGAGAGAGAGGCAGTGGCTTGATCAGTCTGCAATGGCCGACCAAACACAGAAGCAAGACCAAACAAGATATGGGAATTAAAAAAATGTAATCGCAGATTAGGGAAAGCTAACCACACAGGAGCTATGGGAGATTCTTCCCTGACATCAAAATCCATAGACCACTTGAGGAGCCTCATTTGGCATCCCTGAATATAATATGAGCGACGAGAAAAAATTCGGCTATAGTCGAGATCGTTAGACAACTGAACAACGACATGTTTAGGATCAAGCAAGCCGACAGTAAACGAACCAGACAATTTCAGACTAAAGAAAAATTTTCTAATAACATCCAGATTAGGCCTCCGGAGCATAAACTTCCCGACAAGGGTGAAAGAAAAAGGAGCTGCAAGCTGATTCACAACGACATCCTCAAATAACAGAGCCGGGCAGCCTTTAAAAGTCGAATGCACAAATTTAACTTTCGGTAAAGACGAAGAGGAGCCACCGGAAACTACATCTTTAAAAGACCTAGTTTTACCAGTTAAAGCAGGCGCATCGGCCGGGGAAGACGACGTCGGAGCCGACATCGTCCCCCACCCTCACAAAAGAAGATAAAACAAAACAAAAAGTCGAAGACAGCAAGAACAGGGGAAGAAAAGACGAAACAAGAACGGAAAACGCCAACGAGAACGAGGAACGAGATTACCAGAGAACCCACAAAGGAGAACAGGCCAAACACTGGAAGGAACCACAACAAAGATCGCACACCTCGCACCGGAGAAAACGCCTCAGAAACGTCTCGAAGAGGAGCAGCAGAGGCGGCGGAGAAATCGCCTCGGAATCGCCTCGAAGAGGAGCAGCTTAGGCGGCTAGGGCT